ACATAATTAATAAGTTTCAAGTAACATTTGCAATAATCAGAAAAACAATTATGGCTTAAATGTAATATATCCTAAGTAATTGATGATGTGAGACTCCCAGCTTATTCTATAAAGTTGACCAATTCCCAAGAAGGAAAAAAGAAAATAAAGATAGATTTCAGATATTTTCTTTTGAACAAAACTAATACATAAAAAATTCAGAAGTCAATAATATTGACTTTAAGATCTTATTAAAATATCTATCACTCTCTTTTTAAAGATGAAAAGAAAAATTTATTGGAGTAAGACATTTCTATAAAAATATGATTACAATAATACAACTTTCCCATTTTATTCTTTAACATATTAAATGAAAACAAAAATAATAGTTTAAAATAAAGATTCACAAAAATTGGAAGGAAATATTCTAATTAAATAATTCCTAGTAATGTAGGGGTATGAATAAGAATTTCTTCCTAAAAGAAATGTTATGAATTATGATTCTAAAGACTTGATTTTTTAGTTTAAAACTGGAATTGGAATTCATACAGGGAATAAAAATTACATGAAGCAAGGTTTATATGACTTAAGAAACAATCTGAACCACATCAGTAAAATATGTTTGAAATAAATTGTCGAGAGTAAGATGAAATATGTGACAAGTAGTGCAAAATGCTTTAAAACGCCCAATTTTCATAGTCGTATATAAGCAGGACACAGCTGCAGTTCACTTATGAATTGCATTTGACGAATAATTCTGAGAGTTTAAATACACTGACTCCAGAATCTAAGACATATAAAGGATAAATAACCACACACTTGATCAACAACACAGTTACTTTAGCAAATTACTTTAGATCAAATGGTGAAATCACTCCTTTGAAAGGAATTATATCCAGAATATATTTCCAGACATTTTTTCTGACATAGATATCTTTCTTGAATGTAAAGGTCATTACCTTGTACTTTCTTTGAATAGTGATTTTTAAATTGCAACTAGCTGGTTTCAGAACACATGTACTGTTACAATCCTACTGGTGATGGTTAAGACAAGTGCCCTCAGTACTTTATCCTGATGATACCTTATTTTAGGCAAATGGTTAGCTTTAGCAGTAGGAAATTGATTTTCCTACCTACCCCACAATATGATTGAAAAAACAATGGAGTGGAAATGTAGCATGAAAGAACTACCAATAGTGATACTAGATTTACAAAATCCAACAAAATTTCCCTTTTAAAGCATCATGACATGACGTATCACCAATTCGGTCACCAAAGACATAATTTTTTCCCTCAGTCGATATTTTGTAGCATATCTCTCACTGTGAATGGAATATTTCCCCCACCTTATGCCATCGTAATAACAGGGATTCTAGTACATTTAGAAATTCAGGTATATTGTCTCATCAAAGCTCAAGTATTTGGGGCAGACTCATTTACTCATGCTGGCTTTCATTTACAATGGTGTTTTGCTTTTTTCTAACAGCTGACCTCTCTGATGGTGACTGAACAAAGCCAATCGTGTAAGTGGGCAGGTGCTTGTTGACATGATTTCATGGGTATCTCAAAGTCTTTCTATCCCAAAATATATTATCTGCCTGCTCAGTGATGCCCAAGTCATTTTAAGCAAGAAAGGGAAAACACCTTTATCCAGTTTTAAGTAAAATTGTGGGGAAATTTAATAAAGACAAGTCGCATCTACTATAAATGTGATTGAGGGGCAGGCAGAGGAGTTGCAAACAAACATGGTAGGTGGATATCTAAGAGGGTGTGGTGAGGAAGAGGGATTATCATGGGAGAAGAAAGGTGCAGCCTTCAACTCAACTGTCACGTGATTCACAGTACTGCCCTGGTACCTAGAAGGGGCAGTGAATTGCCAGGTGTGGTCCAAAAACAGAAATGGCTACCTGACTGGACCATGTAGGTTCCCATTTCCCATCATTTGCCAACTTTCTACCAAAAAAAGTTGGGGTTTGGAGCTGAGAAACCACACTGGAGAAACTGACCATATCTTAAGATTTGTGGAAATAAAAAAGAAAATTCTAGAAAAAAAAAAGTTCTGATCCTGAGACCTTTCTATTAATAATTCAACACGATGTATATGAGAACTCTATTTGCTGAGCTTCTACACTGTGGTGTATTCATGGAAAAGGACTGTGGTTCATTGTGACTAACAACGCCATCTCAAGAGGGTCATAGACAATATAGCTTAAAAGATATAGAAGATGAGAACAAAGACACCAAATGACAACATTTAACTGAGAGATAAGAACCCATTAGATATAACCATGCACTATTTATAGTTGCCAATACTGCAAATGGGTGGATATACTACTTGATATTAAATATCTGTGACAATTCTGTTAGACCCACAAGCTTCAAATTCTTTAGTACTATATTTTTGTCTTTATTTTTGTCAAAGAATTTCTATAGGAATCTTTAAATATGACACATACAAGGACCCATAATTCTGAACCACTTTTATTCTAGACTGACATTTGCCTCCCCATGTCACACACTCCAAGCTCTGTCACATAACCCAACTCTCAGAGGGCAGCTGACTGATCTACAGTAACGCTGTACGTTAGGTGTTGTACACGTCACCTCTAATAAAGTCACAACCATCAGCTCTGCACCCAAACACCATTCATCCAAATACTGAGTCAATGTTAATTGTAGATAAGATTGATTTGTTCTGACACAACTGCTACATTTTAAAAATTTAAAAAGCTAGAAATAAAGTCTCGAGCTAACATTTTACAGATTTCTTAGCTTAAGAAGACTTTTTGGCAGAATGACCTTCCATTTGATCACATAGCAAAATGAGCCAACCACAAGAGTGTATTAGGTTAAGTTTTCCTATGAGCAGTTCAATTTTTACAGATGCTATAGAATTAATTTTTAAAATTCATTTTCAAAAGTCTAAAAGGAAAAGAGACATAAATAAGCATCATTTCAATTTTAAACATCTCTTTTACCTGTAGAACATTTTACAAGAAACCTCTTACTGAAGGCCTGTAGCTACAACTAGTTCCAAAATCTAAATGTTTGATAAAACAGGTAACAGGAATTTAAAATCTGTCACTATTCTCAAAGTTTATAATAATTTGACCTTTCATAATTTAAAAAAATTAAAATTTCTCTACTTTTTCTGGTGGCAGAAAAGAGGTGGAAATTGAGACTTCTTCCCCCCAATGTCCAACTTGAAGTATTACACTCTCCTCTTACTGTCATCCATTCCCTTTCAAACTTAAAGGTGTGATTATGGTCAATCTTAGGTTGACTTAGATTTTCTAACTTTGTAGCAAAAGTAAAAAGGATATTATAATTTGGTGTTTTTATTTAAGTTTTCTATGCTAGCACCTTCCAAAGGATGTGGGAAACAGAGGGGAAAAAATAAGGCTTGTGTCATCACCTGGTCTTCCACCACAACCTAACAATCACACCTTTCAGACCAGCCTGGGCTCACTTACCGCTCTCAGAGCTAGTAACGGCTAAGCACCTTTGCTAAGGGTCACACTAAGCTATGGGCTCAATCAATCGGTCTATGGGCTAGGTCTGAGTTGCCAGATATTGGCTGGTCCTTCTACTTAAAGATTCTCATGACCTCAGAAAAGCACTAGATGGTTCTTGGGAAGAGAGTGCAGTAAGCATTTTTATTAAAGAAGGGACTAGTTACAGAAAATCAATTTTCCAAAATTAATCTAAAATTCCACCAAATTGATCCCCTGCTTTACAGACAAGGCTGCCACCATGCCACGAGAAAGTTGTAAAAGCAGTTTAAAACCTCTAGGAAACATTTATTTAGGCTAAAGATTTTACAGCAGATGCGAAGGATTTTTTTAAAATAGAGAACTCTTAAGGATTCTTACAGTTTTTATATGCTTCTCTATCTTATAGTCAGTACCCCACAGATTATCTCCTGCATGTTAGCCTACTAGAGATAGAAACTATAACCTGACCTTTCTGGGTGATCGTTTCTATTTGGTTGAATATAAATATCTTTGTGTTGAAACTCTAATTAAATAGTGCCTGTCACTGCTTAAAAGCTCCATAGAAGTGAAATGTTCAGAAGTCCTGGCAGAAATACAGAAAATAGACAACATTTTTATTTTTCTGCAAATTCAATTTACTAGCTTAAAATATTAAAAACATGCGCTGCATTAAATTATATTTCTTGGAGCTAAATTTTACTTCTTCAATAACGTTTAATTGTGATGAAGGACTGCATAATGATTCCTTTTTAAAAAGTACCTTTAAATTGTAAGGGGCTTCCAGCCTCTACCTGGCAATTAAAGCTGTGCAGATAAAAGACAAAAGTCATTAATAAACATCATAAAGATAATTCTAATAACAAGCACCCTGTTAAAAGTAAGAGAGGAAACAGAAAAATCATCAATTACTGACATTTTTAAATGACACTTTAAAAAGAATAGAGAGCTGGAAGCAGCCGCTCCATTTCAAGAGGGCTGTTTGACCCTGAATGAAACGAGAGGGACTCGGGGCTGGCGAGCAGCGGGAACTTTGCGGCGGGCGGGCAGCGCAGGGCAGGGCGGCCACCGACCCGGGCGCTTTAATCTGTCACCAGCCTGTCCTCAAAGCCCAGGGATAGCCCCAACGCCACCCGGGGACCCATGGGGAGACCCGGAGCAGGACAAAGGTCTGCAATCCAAGTACCGGGGTTAGGGAAACAAGAAGCGCAGGTTCATTCAACGTCCCAGCTGCAAAAACAGGGAGCGAGTGGGGGAAGATGCCGACCCCCGAGAATTCTCAGGCATTCAGCACAAGCACCAGCTCATTACGAGGAGATGCGTTAAGGGAGGTGGGGTGGAGAATAAACCCCAATTCGCGACTCCATTCTCCACTAAGTTTGTTCTCTCTCCCTCAACAGAGCGCAACGTTGGGGTAAGGGTTGTCATGGCTCTTGTTTAAATGGCCCCTTGGAAGAAGGAAAGGGATAAAAAGCTGCGCTCGCGGGCGCACCGGGGCGGCGGCGAGCGCGGAGATGCTGTGGTACCTACCATGGTATTCTTGTCCCGGTACGTAGTAGGTGGGGTTGCCCGCAATGTGCAGGGAAATAAGCACCTCGCCCTGCTCCCCATCCCCTTCCAGCTCCCCGTGGTGGGTGCACAGGAAAAAGAAGGGCGAAAAGCGGGGGTAATAGCCCACCGCCGCGCGCGCCCTCAGCGTCGCCCCCAGCAGCAGCGCCAGGACGAAAGTCCGCGGGGCCCAGCAACTGCGCTCCATGCCGCCGCCGCCGCCGCCGCGCGCCCCGCGCGCCGCTCGCTCATTCAGTTTTGGAGACGCCGGGACGGAGGAGCCACGCGGAGGGAAGGCGAGAAGGCGGCGGACGGGAGCAGAGCGGGCTCGGGAGCGGAGCCCCTCCGGGAAGTTCCGCGGGAGCCGGTGGCTCCCAAAGTTACTTTGGGCCGCGGGAGCGCGGGGCCGGGACTGCGGGCGCCGAGAGCGCGTCGTCCAACGCCTCGGTGCGCCGCCGCCGCCTCTGCGCGACGCCCCTCGGCCAGGCCTGGGAAAGCGCCCGCCCCCCTCCACACCTTCTTAAAGCCCCGGGCGCCGAGTCCCCCCCGCCGCCGCCACACGTGTCCCGGCCGCTCCCCCGCCCCCGCGCGCCGCCCCGCGCGCACCCGCCCGTCCCCCGCCCTCTCGGGCCGGCTTGGCCGCACCTCGCGCGGCGCGGGGCTCACGCCTCCCGGGAGCCCGGGCCCGCACCCCGGTCGCACGCGGGAGGGCAGGGAGGGGCGCGAGTCGGGAGCGAGGCGGGGGCCGCTGTCAAGGGCCCGGGAGCCCGCGAATCTACAGTGAGGGACGTACGCGCCCCGGAGGGAGGGCGCCTCCCGCCCTGCTGTCCGGAGGAGAAGGCCAGCCCCTTGGCCCTCAGATTTCCCTCTTTTTCCTGGGAGGATGCGCGAGGCAAGGAGAGGGGCGGCGGGGACCCGCGCTGGCGCCGGCTTCTTTGTCTGCGCCGGCTGCGCCCCACGCCCCTCGGGGCTCGCCTCCTCGCAGCCCGGGCGGCCCGCACTTGTTCTGGGGGTTCGCCCGCGGCCCGGAACCGA